TCGAGTCGGACCCGACTCATAGTGACCCCTCCTTGGGTTTCTGAGGCAGTATCACTACAGAAGTAGATTGCCCCATCTTCCTTCTGAGGAGTGGCTGCTGGGTTTGAACCACCAGTCTTCTGGCTAGCAGTCAATTGCTTTAGGCACTGTGTTACCAGAGAGAGCTTCTTATACCCATCTTACTAGATATAAATGGCTTAGAGAGGTCAGTGGTAAATGTCAGCTGTTATCTTCCCCAACCTCTTCTGCTTCAGATGTCATCAAATTCGTTCCTCTCTAAGCATTTGACTGCTAACCAGAAGGCTGGTGATTCAAACGCACCAGCAACTCCTTGGAAGGAAGGTTGGGCAATCTACTTCCATGGAGATATTACCTCGGAAGCTCAAGGAGGGGTCACTATGAGTTGGGTTTGACGTGACGGCAGTGAGTTTGGTTTTTTAGTTTAAGCAATTAGATGAAACATTGGCCAGCTTATTTGGGTCATGACATTTTTTCCCATTTGTTCAGAGAAAAATCTGGGGGAATTTTTATATAATTTAAAAGTCAGTGAGGAATCAGACTTAATAGTCTCTCAGACCCAAGAAGATTTTTTTGATGAAAAGAAATGTTTTTCACTTGGAAAGATACTGAAAAACTCCACCCTCCTATTTTACAAGGTTGTATTTATAGATGGTTAACTAGAGGATTTGCTCTATTAAAATGATGGTAATCACTCTGTTTATCATTTAAGGATCTGTGCTGTGACTGGAAATCTGAGTTTAGGGGCCACACTCATTATATCATTTGGAAGCAAGTATTTATCTTCTTAGTGACACACACACACACACACACACACACACACATTGAAGTAGAGGTCAGAGGAAAAGAGGGAGACTCAATGAGATAGATTAATAGAATAACTGCGACAGTGGGCTAAAATGTACCAATGATTGTATGGATGGTGTGGGATTGGGCAAAATGACAGCAACTAACTGTATATATACACACACACACACGCACATATATGGAAAAATATAAATATATACATATATACACACACACACACATATATACACACACATACATACAAACATATACATGTACATATATATACATATGAATTTGTCATACTGTGGTGGCTTGCATGTTGCTGTGGGGCTGGAGGCTATGCTATCAGTATTTGAAATACCAGCAGGTATTACAAATTACCTGGACAGGTTTCATTGGAGCTTTCAGACTAAGGCAGACATGGAAGAAGGATGGGGCCATCTACTTCTCAAAGAATTGGCCAGTTAAACCTTATGAATAGCAGTGAGACACTGCCCCATGTATTACTGGAAAACTTTATGAATACCCCTGAAACATTATTGTCCAATATAGTGCCAGAAGATGAGCCCCTCAGGTTGGAAGGCACTCAAAATACAAGTGGGGAAGAGTTGCCTTGTCAGGGTATGTTGTTGTTGTTGTTGTTATGTGCCGTCGAGTCAAACCCGACTCATAGCGACCCCTCCTTGGGTTTCCAAGGCAGTATCACTACGGAA